TTGGGGGCACCAGGAAGGAGAGAAGGGGGTGCTCCCACCCAAAGGACTCGCCCTCAGCCCTGAGCAGCTGGCTTGCTCCAAGAGAAGCCACTCTGGATGATGTAGACAAAAAAGAGGATGTGTTTCCAGGACACAGCCCCAGAGCAGGGACCAGCAGCTGTTTCTTGCTGGCTACAGCTCAAAAAGCCAAAACTCTGCCAAGCTCGCCCTGGCTCAGCCCTGGGGATGCCCCCATTCATAAGGAATGCTGGTTTATCACAAACTCAACCCACAGATTTTAGCTCTGAGCTGGATCTGAACAAGTCGCTCTCAGTTCTGCACCAGAGCCAGGGCAAGGACTTCCTAAATGAACACTCAGGTCATTGGTGTCTGCTGTCTGTAGGGCACAACTTACCTTTCTGACTGTTCCAGCATGTGCTGACAGCTTTGTACCTCTCCTCACACACCAGCACCTGTGGTTTTGCACCAGAAAATCAATTTGAATGCACATTTTTGTTTCAACCCTTGATAAGAAGCGGACCTTTTGTAGCTCAGGTCTCTGAGGCAGACGGACAATGATGATTTCTGCATTGCATTTTTAGTTGAAATCGAAAGCTCATTTCAATTTCATTTAAATAAATACATTTCTTAATTAATTTTAGTTCCTTGTCATCCAGAATTTCCTGCCAGTGACCCCATCTGGTCCTCACACACTTACAGAAACCAAGTTAGGCTGCAAGACACAGAGTGGCCTGGCCCAGGAAAAACATCTCCCAAACAGCCCCCCCTGAACAGTGACATTTGCCACCAGATTTATTTCCCATTAGCTGACTCTGCTGATGGGCTATCATCTCCATTGATTTGGGGTTTGTTTTTTCCATTAAAGCCACAAATGCCTCACACACAGCCTGCCTGTTCCCAGGGCCTGGTTGATGAGGGCATGGTCCTTGCTGTGATGCCTTGGAGTGGCTGCCTAGAACAGAGGCTAGACAAGTTTAAGAGAATAAAATTGTTAAACCATAATAAATAAACAAAATATCATTATCTATAATAATAATATTTTGGTTTAGATATTATTTTATATTTCATTATTATTTGAACATTATTTTATTATTCCATTCATTATTTTTCATTATTTTATTTTTATTTATTTATTTTAATTATTATTTTATTATTATTTCTAATCTTATTATAAATAATATTTTATTTATAATAAACTATTTATTAATAATAATCAATAAAAAGTATTAAAGGCCTTCAATAGCTACACCTGGGACAGTCAGGAGCCTCCCAGAGGCTGCACCCAAGATATAAGTTATTTTCAGACAATTATAAATACGTCCATTTACATATCAGGGGGTTAATTCTCCAATTACAGCTTCAGGTAATGAAGTCATTTACCCCCAGTTTACACTCCTCAGGGCCTGAGGTGTCCTCGAGTTTCAGGCCTAGAAAGGAACAGTTTTGTCTGGATAAAATGGGAGAACAGTAACTGACAGGCTATGGAGTTTAGAGTGATTCACTAAAGCAGTACAGGATCTGAAAAATATAAAAATAAAAAATAAAAATGAAATCCTAAGGCATCACCTGCACCCCTCCTGGCTGGGAGGGACAGGCCAGGTGATCCTGCATCACCTCCAGCTCCTCTTCCCCTCCTGGCACACTGAAAGGGCTGATATGAATTATATAAAATGATATGAAATCTTCATTTCCACGCTAAATGGGGCATTGATTGGCAGCCTGGAACTAGCCAAAACCATCAGTGCAATGCTGCACTGGCTGCTGAAGAGATCAGAACTCCGAGGGAATTGTTGTTTTGGACTGCATTTGCACGTCTCGCAAGATTTGAGTGTGAGTAACCCTAGGAATGTGTTTTTCCACCCATCAGATGTGCTTTGCTGCCCCGCTCTCGCTGTTGCTGTCTCCTGGAGCCAGGCTCAGCAGACGTGCCTGCACTTGTTTCACCAGGAACCTTCTGGGCCTTTGGCTGAGCTGAGCTCTCACAAGGCAGAGAGGAGACACCTTGGCCACCTTCAGCAGAGCTGAGCACAGCTCTGGGTGAGCAGAACCAGAACCCTGGGGTGAGCAGAACCAGAACCCTGGGGTGTGCAGAACCCTGGGGTGTGCAGAACCAGAACCCTGGGGTGTGCAGAACCAGAACCCTGGGGTGAGCAGAACCAGAACCCTGGGGTGTGCAGAACCAGAGCCCTGGGTGTGCAGAACCAGAACCCTGGGGTGTGCAGAACCAGAACACTGGGGTGTGCAGAACCAGAACCCTGGGGTGTGCAGAACCACAGCTCTGGCTGTGCAGAACCAGAACCCTGGGACATGCAGAACCAGAACCCTGGGGTTTGGTGAGGAGAACCAGAACCCTGGGGTGAGCAGAACACAGCTCTGGGATGAGCAGAACCACAGCTCTGGGATGAGCAGAACCAGAACCCTGGGGTGTGCAGAACCAGAGCTCTGGGGTGTGCAGAACCAGAACCCTGGGGTGAGCAGAACCACAGCTCTGGGTGTGCAGAACCAGAACCCTGGGGCATGCAGAACCCTGGGGTGTGCAGAAGCAGAACCCTGGGGTGAGCAGAAGCAGAACCCTGGGGTGAGCAGAACCAGAACCCTGGGGTGTGCAGAACCAGAACACTGGGACATGCAGAACCAGAACCCTGGGGTGAGCAGAACCAGAACCCTGGGGTGAGCAGAACCAGAACACTGGGACATGCAGAACCAGAACCCTGGGGTGTGCAGAACCAGAACCCTGGGGTGTGCAGAACCAGAACACTGGGGTGAGCAGAACCAGAACTCTGGGGTGAGCAGAACCAGAACCCTGGGGTGAGCAGAACCAGAGCCCTGGGACGTGCAGAACCAGAACCCTGGAGTTTGGTGAGCAGAACCAGAACCCTGGGGTGTGCAGCGTGGAAGAGCTGCCAAGGATGAGCTCTGTCTCCTGCCCTGGAGGGAGCAGGGAGAGCTGAGGCGGGGAATAGCTATCCAAACAAGTTTGTACACACATGAATTTGTAATGTGCTGCCTAGAAGAGACTTTGGAGCTGTGGTGTGGAAGAGCCTGGAGAGTTTTGTGAGGATCACAGCCCTGCCCTGCGGGGAGGATGGGGCAGGCAGGCACAACGCTCTCCACTGACATTTGGCTACCCCAGCCCTGCAGATGGGTTTGGGAGCAGCACAGCCACTCAGTGAGGACACTGAACAGCTCCAACTCGGTGAGTTGGTGTCTCCTGTACATACCTGGCCCTGCAGGAAATTCCTCATGAAGTGCCAATAAAGCTGCCAGATGGCAGTGACTGCACTTGGAGGCTGTTTTGGATGCATGGAGCAAGGCAGGGGCGATTTCAGATTGCAAACATTTTAGGGTTCCATATCTGAAGAGCAAACCACACTCTTTTGCCAAGAGAGAGACAGCAGGTTTTACCAGCTGAATAAAGAAAATGTCAGTAATGACCGTGGTTAGGCCCCAGGGAAATGCTGCTGGCTTCTGGATCATTCTGGGAAAACTTAGGGGAGTGCTAGACACCTCACCAGAAATCAGAGTCCATCTCAGGGCATTGACTTCCCTGAAGCATCTCCCTCTCCCTGACCAGACCATGCTACTTCAACTACAGCTGTGAGCAGAGCCCACCTCTAAAGGAACACTGAGGAATAATCAGCTACCAGAGCAAATTCTACCAGTGAAAAATCTCCCTGGAGGAGGGAGACACAGAGGATCATTAACAGTGCTTCCACAGCAGTTAAATTCACATTTGGCATTACTCTGCTGAGCAGAGAGTGGAGAATCAGCCTTGCTGGGCAGCAGCACCCACCCTGCCACCACCTCCTTCCACTGCCCTCCCTCAGAGGCAGCCCTGCTTTGTACCCTGGCAAGGAAACACCTGCTCATGGCACTCCAAGGACAAGCCTGCTCCTCACCTCCAATAGGTTTATTTAAACAAAATGGCTTTATTTGTCGCCATGAGTTGTGTCTCCATCAGTTGCTGGCTGCTGGGAGTCTCAGCAGCTCCCAGTGCTCCCAGCCTTACACCTTCCATAAACTGTTCCTGGGAGCCCCCAGCCTGTTCCTGATGTTTAAAATGGGACACAGATGCATTCAAGCTAAGTGATGAGTTTACTGTGCAATCAGAAACTGCTAATGAAAGAAAATACAGGCTTTGATGGTTCCTGCCACAAGATCAGCTCCTGTCTCCTACATGCCAGCCTCTGCCAAAGCCGTCCAGGGCAGCAGTGCAGGGCTGTCCAGTCTGACCATGACGCTCCCTCCACTGGGAACTGAGTCTTGCTCTGCCTGGAGACAAATCACAAAAAATCCTTTGACCACTGGACCAGTCCCTGGCCTGATCCCACGGGAGCCAGGGGACCCACACACCCAGCCAGGGAAACATGGGCACATGTGGCACACTATTATGCCACAGCCACAACTTTTCCCTGCCTTTTCTTCAAGGTAGGATCTCTTGCTCTGTGTTGTGTGATTTCTGAGCTCTCTTCCCATTCCCTTCCCCAACAACCTCCTCCTTTTCTGCCTGACAGTCTGGGACACTTCAGTCTCCTCTCCCTTCGTTTAGAGAGCACCACATGACAGCCCCCAATACAAGCATTTCCAATTCCCTGCTTTGTTCCCCACCCAGACACTGCCTTGTGGATTTTCCCAGCTTTCTCAGCCCTTTCTGTATCACACGATTTGAGAAATGGTGACTGCTCACCCCCACTGTGTGTTGTCATGTGCTGGTAGCTCACTTCACCTCTGGAGAAGAAAACTGATAGCAGGGATCACAGAATCACAGAAACATGGAATCCTGAGCTGGAAGGGAACACAGAATTTCTGGTTCTGCCCAAACCCCCAGCACCCCCAGCCTGGGCACCCCTGGAGCGCTGTCCAAAGGCTCCTGCAGCTCTGGCAGCCTCGGGGCCGTGCCCATTCCCTGGGGAGCCTGGGCAGTGCCAGCACCTCTGGGGAAGAACCTTGCCCTAATCCTCAGTCCAAATGAGGCAGGTGAGCATTCCCTGCTCCCAGAAGAGTGGGAGAGCCCAGGTGCCATCCTGGGTTTCCCTGCCAGCCCCATCCCACAGCCTGGATCTCTGGGGACCCCTCTGCTGCTCCTGTGACCACCAAGTCTGAGCACAGCAGGGCCTGGTGCTGCCCCAGGACTTGGCTAAGAGCAGTGGCAGGAGGGGAGGAGGAGGTGAAGGCACCCCAATAAAGAGGAAATGTCTGCTGCCATCCCTTTAGCTGACCCAGCTCTGTTTGCAGCCCAGATCCAGGAGGAATTAGCATGATTGGAACCTCAGTGCTGCTCCTGTGGGACTGGCTTCAGCACAAATGGCTGCTGCCAGATGAATTCTGCTCTGAAGTATGATCTGCTTGAGCTGCCCTGTCCAGGGGCATTTGTTCTGCTGACACACAGCCCTGGCAGGGGGATGTTCACCAGCAGCTTCTGGCACAAAGGAGCACTCCCACTCTTCCCACACTGGTGCAGAGCACAGTAAATCCTCTTTGATCAATGCAAAATCCAGTGTAAAACAGGAGTATCCAGCCCAGGCCATTTAATTCTCCAAGATATAAGCAGGCTCATAATCTTCATCAGCGTTGCTTCCTGCTTGAAATGCTTTTCATTAGCTGTTCATTCAGTGAACACAACCACTTCTGCTGCCTCAGCAAAACACATGCCACACTTCTTGCTCAGCAGCAGAAGGCAAACATTTTATTGCATTTTAATCACTGGCAGTTTCAGCAGTTGCTTCCTGCTCTCTGTGTTTCTTCCACCCATCCTACTGAGAAGCCTCTATAAACTTTGATTGCTTGGCCAAAGCAATACAGGACCCCCTCAGCCTCCAAGTCCTGGGGGAGTTGAAGGTTGAAAGCTTGGTAATCTCAGTGGCCTTTTGATCCTGTTGGGGAAGAAGTGAGACAGGCTGAGCACCAGTCTTGCTGGAAAATTCTGTGTCAAATTTTTTTTTTTATTCTGAAAATAATGATTTTATGGAGCTGAAATGTTTCAGAGGAACATAAAATAAAATAAAAATAAAATAAAATGGTTTGAATTGCAATATGAGAAAACCCACTGATGCTTTCTCCCAACCCAGCCGTTGAGGAAGCAGAAATGCTCCATGACAGCAGTGCAGCCCCTGGTCAGGAGAGGTCAGAACATGGTTCAGGTTTACTCTGACCCTGCAGTTTTGAGGCAAGAGCTGTTGTGTGCCCAGAGAAAAGCTGATGGGCCCTGGCTGATTGTGTCCAGCGCAGTGACTGGGATGTCTCAGCTGCTCAGTGCCCAAGGCTGGGCTCTCTGCAGATCCTTTCCCTGTGTGCCTCCTCTCCTCTCCCAGGATCAGCCTTCCCGTGCCTCTGAGTCACAACAAGTGTTTCAAAGAAAATTTTGGTGCCTCATTTCTTCATTTTCCTGTGTCTGGGGATTTTCCAGCCTCCCATCCACACCCTTCACGCTGTTGCAGTGCAACTCGCTCTCCTTCGTGTGCCTGTAATTTGCTCACAGCCCCCACATTAAGGTCAAATGACCCTTTAGTGGTGAGGTGGGCAGGGGATGGGGCAGGGAGTGTGTCAGAGCTGCTGGGGAGCACCAAACAGGCTGGGTGAGGGCTGACAGAACCTATCAGTGCCCAAGGATGGGACCCAGGACTGCCTGGGGCGAGGGCAGTGGGGCCACCAGCATCCCACCAGCACCATCAGCCTTTTTCTGCTAGGCCACCCCACTTACTTTCAGCTACAAAAACCCATTTACCTCGTGAAAAAAAATGGCAGGATCAGGTCCAGGCTGTGCCTCACCACTGCAATTCCCTAAAGAAGAGGGTAAATTCAGCACAGCAGCTTCAGGTGAGGAGGAGCAAAGGAAGGTCCCTTCCCTTCCCTTCCCTTCCCTTCCCTTCCCTTCCCCTCTGATTTTGCTGACTCTGCCAAAGAACCCAGCTGGGATGGAGGGGGCACTCGTGGACCCCCAGACCTCCAGGTTTTCTCCTCCAGCCCTGACCCCCTGCCCTGTGAGGTCCCAGCTTGCCCCAGGACAGTCACTTGATGAATTTTCTTGCAGTATTTTCTCCCCTGCACAGATTTTGCCACATTTTCCTCCTCCCCCTCACTGCACCCTCAAGGTGGAACTGGGAGTGAGCTGATGAAAGGGAACAGGGAGGGAGAAAAGCCCAAGGAGATGAAAACTGATCTCAGCTCCAGCTCCAGCCCATCCCTCATCCCACTTGGCTCCCTTCCTGCTCCCCCAGGACCTTCACACCTTGCACCCTGGACATTTTTGAGGTGGTTATGAAAGGAATTGTACATTCAGGTATTCTGGTGGAGAATTTTGTCTGGAGAGTGGATGGGGGAGCTCCTTAACCCTGGCATGCTGCAGGAAACTGAGCAGAAAGCAGCCTTTGAAATGCCCAGCTGGACACAGAAGGGCTTCACTGAAACCCTGAGTCCTCCTCGCCCCCCTCAACCTGACTCCAGCCTCCTCCAGCCAGGGATTTACCAGCAGCCAGTCCTGCAGCTGTGGCACAAATTTAAATGTGACTGGTGCTGCTCCTGGCCCTGAGGCCTCTGACCCTGAACACTGCTAAACTTTTATCCACCAAGCTGAGATGGATGTAATCATATCACCTTAAAAACGTGCCCAAATCCCTTGTCAGGAATTGTTTCTAAACCTCCAAATCAAATGTCTGAGACCTGGGAATGCTCTTGATGGCCACGGAGACCTCCCAGCCCAGCTGGTGTTGTTGGGCATGATGTAGAAGTGTGAATTCACAGCACACACCAGAACAACTTCTTAGGAAAAGGTTTGTATTTTCTGAACTTTTTAGCTTTTATAGGGTTTTATGCTACAGGTTTAACATTATTGGTCAAGGGAACACCACCTCTTGGTGGGACAAGAGAAAAACAAATGATCTGCAGTTATGCAGAACTGTTTTGAGGAAGTAAAATGGTTTACAAATGTTGTCTTTGAGCGAGAGATCTCCCAAGAAACTTGGGAGCAGATCAGCCACTTCAGGCTGCAATTCTCTCAGGCTCAGAGAAATCAGGTTTAATGCTGCTCATAAACCAAGCTCTGTGGTTGGTTTTTTTTTTTTACCTTTTCACAATCCAAGCTTCCATTTCTCATGGGAGCACAAATTTAAGTCTCCTGAGAATATCTTCACATTTCTGGTTTGGGTTTTCAGTGAGACATCATCAAATACCAGGTGGAACTCCAGAGTGGCCATGACACCACCCTAAGAGAGACACCTCTAATTCAAGCAGCAGGATGGGGTCCTGCACAGGACCACTCCAAAAATCAAACCAGGCCACAAACGTGGTGTGATTTTTGGGTTCTGTGGTTCTGTGTTTGTGGGACATCACAACACCTGGCATTGGAAAAACCACTCTGCTCCCTGGCTGTTTGAAATGCTATTGTTAGCAGCAGTAATCCTGTGCTACAGGAGCTGGGAAGGATTAGGAAGGAAGAGCATTCTCCCTGTGTTGTGGGGATTGCACAGTAAATTTCCACAGGCTGCTGTGGAACAACTCAAGAAAAAAGTTGTACCACTACCATGGAAGTGTAAAACCCCAAAAATGGTTGTTGTTTTCTAGAACAGTGGTAGGGCTAAAATCTGCTTTTATAATAATTTTGTTTCTGTTGTTTGGATTTTGGGAAAGGATTGCTTTCCTAGGAGCACAGGGTGGCTGGATTCTTTAACAATGAGTTTCAACTTTGCCAGTCATTGTCAAACCTCAAAAGTATGAAATCAGATTAAAAGATATTTAAGAATTGAAAACACGTCGGATCCCATTTTGCCTACTCCATTCTGCCCTCACTTGTGCTCTCAAGCTTTTTTCTGCTTCAGCTAACCTGAAAATAAAGAGGCTCAGAAAATAAAAAACCTGAAATAAAGAGCCTCCACAGTGGATTTGTGGTGGGAAACATGTGCCTGCACTTCCAGGTCCTTCCCTGCCCAAGTGCACTGTTATAGATGCATTTTATATTGTTAGCTTTTCACAAATATTAAAATGAATGTTATGTGTATAAGGATGAGAAATTTTTTTGTATTAATATACTTTTCTTTATTTCTTTATTTTTTTTATTCTTTATATTTTATTTCTTTATTTCTGTTATTGATGAAATTTAGAAATAGTGGTATAATACATATATGTTAGACTATGGCATAGTATTAAAATAAAAACTGCTTTTGTTTGCATAACCCAAAGACTGAGAAAAAAAAAAATAAAAATAGCTGGAGAACTCCTGCATTTGTAAACTCTCTTATCCAGATGAGGACAGCAGTGACCAGAGCTCTGGGGGAGGAATTTATTGCATTTCTGGTATCAGGGAATGAAAATCTCGATGGTGCCAAGAATATTGATCTATTGGGAAGGGGGCAAGGAAAAACTAAACAGAGGAACACCAAAGATCCTGAGAAGAATATATGAATATGTGTGAGAATTTATGGATATGTAGTAGGGTTCTGTTTTTAAGGGACAATCCTTTGTTAGTGAGGTGAATGCACAGACACCAGGCCGTATCTGTATACTTTATTTTTATCTCCTAATTGTCTTTTTTATTAAACTTTTAAATTCTATAAAAATTATGTGAACCTCATTTTTCACAGCACCATGATCTCTGCTCATGCCCCCTGCCCTCAGGCCTCCTCTTCCCTCTGGGCAGTGTCTTCATTTGGAAGCAAAACCCAGCAGGAAGGATGGGTTTTTTTCAGTTTTTTTTTACATGAAAGTAATTTAAGCACTTCTGCCTGTGGTAGGCAGCCAGGATTGATCTGTCTCCACAGGGAGGGAGCACACTCAAGGAGATACATCCTCCTTCATGCCATGGATCTTCTTCTTCTTCCCCATTCACATGGGTGTCAAGTCCAAGCTTCCCCTTGGCAGCGAGGCTGGAGCTGCTGTGTGTATTCCATAGCACTCTTATTTTCCAGCAGGCTCCAACAGGAGATGGAGCAGTGACATGTGACAGACTGATTTAGGCCCTGCTGAGAGGATGTTTACAGAACTGGGACACTGGTGACGTATTACAGAGAAGCAGGATGTCTTTGCTCCTCTAACTCTGTGGCTCAGCAGAGCTTAACCTGTTTGCTCCTTCCATAAATGTCCCAAAGAGAACAGCCAGCGTCTCCAGGCATTTCCCTCCCATGTTCAGTCAGAGCTGCTGCTCTCAGGGGTTACAGGAATGCTCTGTCCTGGGTCACTGCCCTGCCTGGCCTGTGAACATGGCAAAGAAACACATCCAGAGACTGGGGCAGGTGTAGCACAACTTGATTTCCCATTTCTTTTGGGAATTTCAGCAACAGGTGTAGGGATGCATCTCTCCAGAGCCAGAGACTGCTTGCAGCTGCTTCTGTCCCTTACCTGGGCAGAAGTACAGCCCTTCTGGTAAGAAATACACTTGGTCAGCCTCACATTGCATCCCAAGGGTCAAAAACTTTCCCTTTGTGTGTGTGAGTGCTCCATCCAGTGCTGATGGAAGCAGACAGAGAGGATGTGAGGCAGCCAGTGAACGCAGAATGTCTCTAGAAATGATTGGAGCTTGCACTGAAAATTACCTGGTGTCTGATTGCTCTGACCAGAGCCCAGATGAGGGCTGTGGGGTGGTCCCTGGCCCATCAGGGTGTCACTGTCCTGTGCCACACCCAGCTGGGGCTGCAGAGGTAGCAGCTCCCCGCCCCAGTAAAGCACCAAGTAAAGGTTTGGATGTTCCCAAAGTTGGGTCACTTGGCCAAGTCCTCAGCCAGGTACTTTGTCCCTGCATCCACATCTTGCCAATATTAACTGTAATATTAATTATCACATCACCCAGACTGTACAGCTCCCACCAAGCCAGCAGGTCTGTCTGCTGCCTGGGAGCAGCACAAGGTGGGAAGGAAGCAGCTGGTTCCCCTCTCAGTCTTTAAGGCTGTGACTTGCTCCATTCAGACCCAGTTCCATGATTCCATTCCTGCCCTCTCTTAGACCTTGTTTCTTCCCAAGGGAATTTGCTGATGTGAAAGCATAAAAGGCAGGAAATGTAAAAATTCAAGACCTGCTGGTGAGGGAGAGGAACTCCCTTAACCTTTCCTATCAGAGCATCTCGGGAATGCAGCCAGGAGTCCAAGGCATGGCCCAGGGCTCGGTGTGCTGCAGCCAGGAATGACAAACACTCCCCAGCTGCATCCAGGGCATGTGGCTTCCCAGCCAGCTCAGGCCTGAGTGAGCCCATGATTTTATGATTCTGTGACCTGCTGGTCCCTTCCCTCTCACAAGGGACTTGTGGCAACCCTTGAGGAGGAGTTGTTTGCCCTGCACGCTGCAGGTCAAGGCTGCAGGTGCAGGTTGAGGAGCTCTGTGCCAGGCTCCTGGTCATGCAGGAGCTGTTTCCTGTGAGGAACAGGAGGATCTGGGTGCAGATGTGCAGCCAGTGTTTGGGCTGCCAGAGAGGTGGGAATCAGAGCTGTGGAGAGACCTGCAAGCCGTGGGAAGGGAATGCAAGGAAGGTGAGTGGGACCAGGGGGCAGCCAGCATTGTTGCTGTGCCTTGCAGAGAAGCACCCCAGAATGAGCATTTAAAGAACAGATTTTGCAAATAGCCAGAGTCCAAATTACAGATCAACAAACACTGCCAGATGGACACTGCTGCCTTCTGGACATCTGCATCATTTATTGATGCTATCAGGACTCAGCCAGGCTGCCAAAACTGGAGGCACAGGCCCTTTGCCAAGGCCATGCCCAGCACTGCCTCCTGCTCTGCCACAAGGACAGAACAAACTAACCAGGACTCACATTGTGAGCAGGAACCTGTCCAGCCTTCCAGTGAAAACCTGCCCT